AGGAGGCTGCGAAGGCGGGCCGCCGCCGGGGCCGACAGCTGCAGCTGACCGCGGGCTCATTGCGCCTCCGCCGCCGGGTCCGCCGCCGCCGCTTCCTCCCGCTCCGGCAGAGCCGCCTCCGCCTCCGGCGCTCATCCGGTTGATTGCGCCGGCGATGCCAACGCCGCCGGGCGTCTGCGTTGTGGTCCCGGTCGGGGTCGTGACGGTGATCAGGTTGCTCTCGCTGGGGTCGAGGCTGCACTCGATCCGGTAGCCCGGAGGGAGGAAGGTGTTGAAGCCCTGGATGAGGCTGGGATGGCCGCGAAACAGCGTCGAGACTCGCTCAATGACTCCGGGCGTATCAATGGTCTGGCTCTTGAACTGCGCGGGCGGTGAGGGAGGGAGGGAACGGGCGGATGCGAGACAGTCAGCGTCGGGGCAGCCGGGGGCCTGAGACGACAGGCGCGGGACTTGTGGCGGCCAGGCGACTCACGTCTTTCATGATGTCCAGGAAGCGGTTGTAGACGTCGGGATGCTCTGCAAACTGGACCTTGACTTGGTCCAGGTAGGAGAGCGCATCCTTGACGTTGAGAGTCGCCTGCAGACGGGGTGCAGGGGAGATAGGAAGGGGAACGGGCAATGATGGAACAGCGTTCAGTTTCCAGCGGGAGCGCGAAGTCGGGCGCAGGCGGGGCGAAGCGTTCCGCGAAGAAGTACGACTCACCATTTTGGCGGATTGGCCGATTTCGCGGTGTGGTGCGGCTGGAAAGAGTTGTGGATAGGCCTGATCCAGCTATCGAATTGGGCGTGACGGCGATCGCCGACGTCGCGTGACGATGGTGTGGTGGATGCCGAGGTGTCCAGAAAGAGAAGCGCGTCGATCCGTATCTGCCAGCAGGGGATGGCAGAGCGACGAGACGCAGTCGGTGCAGATTTCGCAGGGCCGAGGAGGGGCGGTTCAAGGTTGGGATGCGCCCGCTAGGAAGCGATGGGCGACATGTGCCGGCGAGTCGGCGAGGCGGATGCGGGGACGAGGGGCAGCGAACGGCGGAAGGCGATGGTGATGGTGGTGGCCGCGATGCGAGTGCACGCGGAGTGGGAGGCGGGGGATCTCTGCGGATGGTGGAGTGGAAGAGGGCGGGCGCAAGGGATCGTCGTCGGGCGCGCACAGCAGCAGCCACGCCAGGGACCCGCCTCTCAGTGGCCAGCCGGCCTGGCTGCCTGCCTCGCCTCGCCCCCCGCCCGCGCCCGGCCGGCCGCCGAATAACGCGGGCGGACAGGCGGGCGGCACGAGGTCGGCGCCGGAGACGAACCGAAGCG